TAAAAGAAGGTATTTCAATTTTATTTATTTGATCTTCTGAAAATACTGTTAAACTATGAAAAATAAGAGACCCGAATTTTTGAAAATGCAAGTGGCAAACAAGATGTTATGAAATGAGATATTATGTGACCACATTTTTTTTTATATATAAAGAATAAAATTCTCTATTGTTGAGCAAGGGCTCCTTTGAAGAAGCAGATATGCTGCAGCCACAGCACTTGACAATCATGACTTGCTGAGTGTCTTCGGCTCTGACTCCATGCACATGTATGAATAAGGCAGATGAGACATGACCTCTGCCATTCAGGAGCTCTGCAGTATAATTGTGGAGATAACACCTGTACTAAAGTAACTGCATTGCAAGGCATTGCATGAGGTGTTAAGTGCTATAGGAATTTAGATAAAGGGAGATTGCCAATTGGATGTCATAGACATCTTCATGGAAAAGATGAAGTTGAACACTGTTTTACACTGATTATTGTCATTACCATTTCTAATAAAATTTGGAGAATAACCGTAACTTAAAAGCCCCTGCTTACCTGTGCTTTTTCATTTGGTTAACTGAGATTATGACATAATGGTTAAGAGTGAAATATCAGCCATGTTCTCAATAAATGTTACCAATCATCTTCATCATCATCAGTTTAACTTTCCTTCAAAACTCATTTTAATCCTTGCTCCTCCAGGAAGCCTTTCCTGTCAAACCAAAGTGCATGAGTTGCTGCTTTTTCTTTATTCCTAGAGAATCCTCAGCATGTCATTACCAGAACACTAATCTATGACATTGGTTTCTATTTGTCGCTTCTCTTTCTCACTAAAGTTCCTGAGGTGATGGAATGTGTATATCCCAAACCTAGCATTATTCCTACTGTTATTCCTCACATTATTCCTAATGTCTAAATGTTTGTTGAATGAGCGATTGAACTCAATAAAGATTCCATTCAGTATAAGAAAATGGATATTTGCATAAGATTGATGGCAGTGATGATGGAGAGAAATGGATGAATTCAGGATATGCTTTAAAATAGAATTGACCGGACTTATTGTTGGATTGGATATGAAGAGTGAAGGAGATGAATAAACCAAAGCTTGAGGAATCTGTTACATCAAGTGAGGTGAGGGAACTGGAGGATAATAGACTCTGTTTTGCAAATGCTGTTTGAGAAGCCTACTCCACTTTTGAGTAGAGCTATCAAATAGGCAGTTGCATATGAACTCGGGGCTCCAAGAGATCAAGACAAAATATGTTTGTTTGTCGGAAAAGTCATGACGTATTTTTTTCTATGTGTTTCATTGCAAAAATGAGTCATGACTTTTCCGACAACCCAGTAAGTCAGGAAGTCAGTAGCATGTAGATGGTATTTAAGGCTGCATAGCAGGATGAAATTGCCTTGTGAGAGAATGTTAAGGAGAGAAGAGGACCTAGAACCAAGCTTGCAGTGCTCTGCAGCATTTAGTGGTCTGGAAGAGTTAGAGAAGGTAACAAAGGAAACTGAGGAAGTTGGGGGAAAACCAGAGGAAACTTTTCTCAAGGAATCGCCAGTTGGGTCAAATGCTGCCTGAGGGATTCGGATGAAAAGTGAGAAGTGATCATTGCATTTGGCAACATGATGATTATTGGTGACCTTAACTGTGCCGTGGTGGGGTCTGGAAGCCAAATTGGAATAGGTTCAAGACTGAATGGGAAGTGAGGAAATAGGAATCTGCAGCTAAATCCTTGAGCAGGCCACAGGGGATGGAAAATTGTGTCTTTTAGCATCACTAGCCTTAGGTTTCCAATCTTCCAGATTATTTCATCAAGTCCCAGAATGAACTCATGATGCACTGCCTTCCCAAATCCTTCCTCTTCCTAAGTTTTCTATTGTTAATGAATTCACCTTCCTTTCCGCCATCCAGACTAGAACCCTCGTGGTAAATGTGGTCGTCCTTCCTCCACTTATCCCCATGTAATCAGTTGCCATGGACTGTTCATGGCATTTTTCAAAGTGGACTCCTCCTTTTCATTGCCAGTCCCATTGCCACTTAGCAGGTTGCTCTTTCCAGACACTAATTAGCTCTTCTTCAAACTCCTCTAATAGTTTCCAAAGTACTCTGTGCTTTTATTCTCCCCCTTGTCAGTATATCTATCCATCACAGCTTGAATGTTCTTCCTAAAACACAGCTTCGTGCTTGTTATTCTCTTGCTAAAAATAAAACCAGATGCTTTTAGCTTGGCACTCAGAACACTTTGCCTTTTTAACCTTATCTCCGGCTTCCTTCTCTTCATTCAACCTGCTCTCCTGAAGTGTTTGCTGTTTCTTCAATATAACCTCCATTATTTGGCCGCCACACCTTCACTTTCACTCTTCCCTCCGACATGCCTGCCCTTCCCTTATATCTTCTCTATTTCCAAATGTTTATTACCTCTAACAAATTGTGGAGTTTGCCCTAAATGTTAGGAAATTGCAAGGTTTTTAGTGCTACTGCTTTATCCGTTCTTTAAAAGTTTCATAAGAGCCGGCCGAGTGGCTCAGTTGGTTAAGAGCTCGCTCAAGAGTGCAAGCTCTGAGCAACAGCAGTTCAATTCCTGGCCCGAGCTGAGCTGCTGCTGAGCTTGGATGGCTCACTAAAAAAAAAAAAAAAGTTTCATAATACTGATTTTTACCTTAAACCATAGTTATCTGTACCACTACTACCTCAACCAATCTTTGTTTTTAGGAATTGGGTGCAGGAACAATTTACTGTCTGAAGGGGTTTCTTGGAAGTTTATTTTTTAAGAAATTTTATTGGGGAACAGTGTGTTTTTCCAGGACTCATCACTCCAAATCAAGTAGTTGTTTCAACCTAGTTGTGGAGGGCGTTTTCCAGGACCCATCAGCTCCAAGTCAAGTAGTTGTCTTCAATCTAGTTGTGGAGGGTACAGCTCCTCGGCCCATGTGGGAATTGAACCGGCAACCTTGGTGTTAAGAGCGCGTGCTCTAACCACCTGAGCTAATCGGCTGCCCTTTGGAATTCTAACTAACAGCTAAGGGTCATGATATTCTGTAAATAGAGGATGCCTAGAAAGAGTCCTCTGCTAGGCCTTTCCTCTTTTCTCAATAGCAGGTTCCCACTGATTTTGATGAGGAAGCCAGAAGTTGAAAGATGAGCATGATAACTTCAAATGAAAGGCAGCTTTCCTCAACTGGGCAATTACATTAATGAAATCCACTAGATTCTTTGTTTTATGAATGTTGGTATTTGGGTGTGGGGGAAGAACAGTGTCTGTGAAATTATTACTCCGAGTTTTAGCTTTTTCAAATGGGAGATACCTTTTAGAAATTTTGCTCACCGCTACATAGTCTAAAAGAAGGAAAGGAGAAGCTTTCTAAAGATTGTAGTCATAGAAAAAATAATGTCTTTACAATATTGTACTGAGTGACCTATCATCTTTTCCACCCGTCAGTGGCCTTAGGGAATTGCTAATATGAGGGCATCAGTAAGAAGTAAATTGAAGGTGTTTTCAAAATGCTCTCTTATGATAACATGTGGCCTTTCTGTTAGTTATTTCAGCTTTCATCCCATTATTGGAATATAAAGTAGACCTTAGGCGTGTTTAATTTTATGTAAAGTGACTTTATAAAGTAGACTTTTTTTTTATAAAGTAGACTTTAGACATGTACCTAATCTTTTGAGAATGAAGTTTGACTATTGGCTAAAGGGAAACAATTGCACTTTTTTTTTTTTAAAGATGGGATTGAAAATAAACTTTATTTTTTCTTAGTGAACTCTGATGCTGAAGCATTATTATGAAGAGTGGTATTTTTAGAAAGAGAAGTGAGATGACTGAGTTAAGAACCGTCACTCTACTGTTACAAGATTATCTGTTTGGCCTTTCAGTAGGCAGTTTACCAGTCTTCCCTGTCAGCTATTAAATTGTAGTCAACTGTTTTGGAACATGAGAGTTATTGTAATTAGTAGTGTGCAATTCTGATTTGAGAATTCAAAATATCTTTAGATTTTTAGTAAAACCCAGAGTGCAAATAAAAGATAAATGGCTCACATTTTGAGCGGGATAACAAGCCTTTACAAAGTAAACTTACTTCCTCAAAATTACTTTTTATTAGTACTAACAATAAGAAAAACTGTAGTTACAGAATTATGAAGGAGAACCTGAAAACAACTTGCTTTGACGTCTTTGTCAAAAATGTTTTGTTTTATGATTGTTCATCTGTTTGCTCTCACATTACATTACCCCAGGAAGCTTTGTATTTCAGCATCCTTAATTGACACTGACAAAAGTAGCAACCAGAGGATTTCCTGGAGGCTTGGCCCTTTTGTGTCAGAATGAGCTGTGGATCTCAGTCTTTTGATATGTGCTTTCCCCTTTCACTTAAAAGGGAAAATAACTGCTCCTATTCGGAATAATTTTTTTTATTAAAGCCCTTAAAACTCTATTGTTTAACCCTCCGTTGGGTGCAACTGATCTCACAGATACAGTGCACACAAAGATGCCACTATGAAATACATCTTTACTGTACTAAGTCACAAACAAGACTGGCGATAGGTTATGGTGGAGGGGGAAGATACGGAAGCAATGAGTCACGATACTTAAGTTAACTGTTAGATATTTGAAAATTTGTGTGCAATGAATCTGTGAGATCAGTTGCGCCTGACAGAGGATTAAAATGTATCAGTGGTGGGAAAATTAGCTGCTTTTATAAACTGATTTTTGTATATATCCAAGATGGTTCATAGCTGGCATTAAAATGCTCTGTGTTTTCTTATTAGGCCTCAGTGTTTTAATAGTTTAAATTTTGGTAGTTTAAAATTTTTGAGCCATTAGTAGGGTAATAGCAGAAAAACGGAAAATAGTAACTTTAGGCAAATTATATTGGTAATTTCAGTAAAGCATTGATAATGTGAGCATCCAGAGATATCACTCTGGGCATTTTAAAAATAGATAAATTTTTATTATAATCTGAGAGCAATTTCCATTGATAATAGATTATTTAAAAATTACATTTTCTTTTCTTCTACAGGAAGGAACTTGAAACCTTCAAAGGTAATTTTGTGTTTAATTCTTCACTTTAAAGTAAATGAGAGTTAATTGATGTCAGATGTTCCCTCTTTTTTTTAAAGATTTTTATTGGGGAATTGGAGGATGGGAACAGCGCTGGGGAATTGGGGAAAGGGGAACAGACAAGTTGCTGTCCTTTTTGTTCTTCAGTCTAGTTGTGGAGGACGTTGCTTCACTGGCCCAAGTTGGCACCATCATTGCGCTCTTCCCGGGTGAGGCAGATCAGTCACCGGCTTCTGGATGGCCGCTCACACTGGTTGCTGGCTACACACTGTAGCCTATGGCAACCCACTGCAGCAGGGGCTGCAGCCTACACTGTCGCTGGTGACTCACGGCAGCCCAGCTCCAGGTTGAGCTATTGTTCAGCATCTTAGCTGTAGAGGGCAGTGTCACTGGCCCTCATATGTGGGATCCGAACCCGGGCCCTCAGCGTCCCAAGCCAGCTCTTAACCAACGCGCTACTCAGCCGGCCCTCAGATGTTCCCTCTTGATGATGATGAAAGAACTCATTTCTTTTTCTTTAAATCTGTTTACATAAAAAAATAAAAAAAGTTTGATAATACTGTTTTGTAAGTTTTATTAATCCTAAGTGGTTTTGATATTCTCTTTTAGCTGTAACACATGTACCAAGTGAGAGTTGTTCCGAATGACCATTATAAGTAATATGTTAGGATGGCACAGTGCCAACTTTGAGGTTGTTGAGAATCGTTGTTTAAGAAGATTCTGTTTTCTGCTGTGCAAAGTCTGGGCCTCATGGGGGGCTGTGGTTTGAAGAGAGAGCTGTGCTCCTGGAGTTGACCCCGCAGTCACTCGCACCTACTGAAAGGTTTTTAGTGCTGGATCCTGCTCTACCACCATCTTGAAACTTTGGATAAGTCTCACATTTTTCAGTTTTTCTATCTGTAACATTAGAAGCTCTGATGAACTATATTCTGAGGTACTAAAATCACCCAGCATTGGTTTTTAATTTTAGGGAACTTCTGAAGGTGGAGCGCTGAGGAATTCTTGGTCATGTTACTCCTTACTGGTCACGGAGAAACCCTAGTGAAAAATAGGGACAGCCAGACTTTCCAAACAGCTCAAAGCCCTTCCACTTTGCTATTTTTAATTACTCATTAGCAATTAAGTAGTGAAAGTACTGTTCTCAGAGAGACTCATTTCAAACCAGAAAGATTTTGAACTACTGCTTATTATCTTTCACATATAAATTAGTATTGACCTTTAGATTTACTGAATGATTAGAATTTTCCAGCATATCATTTACAGTTGGATTATTTCTGTGTGTGATCTGTTTGGATATTTTAGAAAAAATGACTAACCCTCAAGATAAAAGGTATAAAGTCTTATTCCTACTATGACTGTAATTGAACAGACTTGTTTTGATTAGATTTCTATTAAACTGACTACAGTTACAGTAAATGATTAAATTTATGGTCATTTTGTTGAGGGAATGTTAAATGATCATGTGATATAATGTATTATCATGACTATCAGTATACTTAATCAATTTGTGAGCCATGACTCTTAACATTATTTTTCATCAGTGGTTTAAAATCACATTTGAAATTCTCATGACATGTTGTTTTCCCTCTTTCTTTCTTTTACTCAAGTAGCTTTTTTTTTTTTAAGATTTTATTGGGGAATTGGGGGAGGAGAACAGTGCTGGGAATTAGGGGAAGGGGAACAGACAAGTTGTTGTCCTTTTGTTCTTCAGTTTAGTTGTGGAGGACGTTGCTTCACTGGCCCATGTTGGTATTATCATTGTGCTCTTCCCAGGTGAGGCAGTCGCTTGCCGGCCACACACGGTAGCTTATGGCAGCCCACTGCAGCAGGGGCTGCAGCCTACACCATGGCCAGTGACTCAAGGCAGCCCAGCTCCGGGTTGAGCTGTTGTTTACCATCTTAGCTGTAAAGGGCAGTGTCACTGGCCCTCATGTGGGATCCAAACTGGGGCCCTGATGCTCAGAGCTGGCGTCCCAAGCCAGCTCTTAACCAACGCACCACTCGGCTGGCCCTCAACTAGCATCTTTTTATATAACATTAGGAGAAGAAAAAAATCAAGTTAATATTAAAAGATAGGCAGGGACACCGATTACGCAAAATGTCAAGTTGCATCTCAGTTCTTTTTTTTTTAGTATGACAATATTCAGAGAGAAAGGAAAGTCCAGCAGTTTGTAAAAGGTTAAGAGAGTGTTGCGTATTACCTGGTAAAATAATTCAATTTATGCCGATATGTCTTGTTTTTACACACATCCCTAATTATGTACAACATTAAACAATACATCCAACCCACCCTTGGGCCAATTAAAGTTTGCAAGTTTGAACAACCAAAATTGATTATTGCATCATATCAAGTTTTTTTTTGTATCAATAGTCGTTAAAAATTCTTTCCTCTGGAGTGGTTTGCTAATATTTCAAAAGCATGAGCAGCATATAATAAAGAAATGTAACTGCTCTTCCAAGACATTAGTGGAGAAAAAAAATTCAAACAATTTGTAGCAATTTCTTATTTTTTGAACATCATTGCCTTTATTTTTCCTTTATAATAGGTTGCGGGGAAAACAAAAGGTATTACTTCCTGCATTTGTTCTACTCAATTTGTAATTGTATTCGGAAGCATTTTTCCAAGTTGGTGAAAACCTAACTTTTGGGGACAAAAACACAAACTTAGAACCCTCAAAGATAGATCAGTGTCTAATATAGATCAGTGTCATCCACCAAGTTATGGATTCTTCCTTCTCTATTTCATTCAGGTTAATGAGTTAGTTCACCTTTCACTTGTGCCATGTACAGCAAATCTCGACATTATTAGTGAAACTAGTTATTGTTTGTTTAATACTGGTAGCAGAAAGGTTTTCTGTGTTCCTCAAATCATTGCATTCCTTTAAACTTTTTAGTGATAGTCACTTGAATAATAGACAGTAGAAGAGGGAAGGCAGGATCTTAGAAGTCCTGATTGTTTGTTATTTTCAGTCCTGTTTGTTATTTTCAGTGGGGAAGGAATTCCATGATTGCAAGCATGTGTGGAGTTAATACAGGAATACCTTGTTTCATTGCGCCTCACAGATACTGCGTTTTTCACAAATTGAAGGTTTGTGACAACCCTGTGTTGAACAAGTCTATCGGCGCCATTTTTCCAACAGCATTTGCTCACTTCATGTTTCTGTATCACATTTTCATAATTTTCGCAATATTTCAAGCTTTCTCATTGTTATTATATTTGTTATGGTGATCAGTGATCAGTCAGCAGCCATCAATATCAAGGCAAATCCGTCTGCCAGCAAAAAGATTACAACTTGCTAAAGGCTCAGATGATGGTTAGCATTTTTTAGCAATAAAGTATTTTTAAATAAGATATGTACATTGTTTTCTTAGACATAATGCTATTGCGCACTTCATAGACTACAGTATAGTGAACATAACTTTTATATGCAGCGGGAAACCAAAAAATTGTGTGACTGGCATTATTGAGATGTTTGCTTTATTGCGGTGGTCTGGAACCAAACCTGCGATATCTCCACGGTACACCTGTAAGTTTTTCAGTCTCTGGAGACAAGGGAAATTGGCCACGAATAGACATGTCTGTTATTTAGGGATGAGTCATCATTTCCCCACTTTCATTTTTAAATAAATTGTCATTCCATATATAAATCTTAAAATCAGCCTTAAGATCTTAAGTGTAAGTCTAGAAATAATGTGTCACTAAAAAGTGTAGAGGCAAGGAAATTTAAGATTGTATATTGTTTTTACCTGTGTAAGAGTCCTGATTTAACATGGTTTTAATACACAGACTTTCTCTTTAGCCTTCACTTGAGTTCTTGTAATTTAACTATCATTCTCTTTTCTGTGTGAAACATGCTGACAGCCAGAACATGCTGAACCTTTGGGGCTAATAGGCTACTCATCTGCACATCTAAATATTTTTGTTCCCACCGGTTGCATTGAATGCTTACCCAGAGTGAGTTGTGTTTGCTCCCGAACTCGTTTATACTTATCCTTGTGATATGCAGTTTAATTAAGTATCAGATAAAATGATGAAACCTCGTGTTAAGGAGACCTGGAAGAAAACTAAGTTGACTGCTTTGGAAGACTTAATATAAGTAAATAGCTTTAAAAATTGATGTGAAAGATATAATTAAGAATTAGAAAATATTTAGGGAAAAATAATTCAAGTCCTGAAAGATTCTGTGCACAAATTGTTTCACATCTTAAATTCCTGCTCTGCTTTTAAAAATAGATTGGAAATTTTATCCACTGTAGTATGGATGGCTTATGCAAGAATTTTCATATTAGTGGAGCTATACTCAAAGAATTCATGAATAAAAGTATGGTTATATTTCAAAATGTTTATGTATGTGTTTTTAATGGACTCCTATATTAACTGCTTTAAAAAAAATTAAATGACCAACATGGGATCCAGTTGTACCATATAAGAGGATGTCCATTGTAATCTCCTTAATATAAAGTCACCCAGCCATGTCAGAAGTGTGGGTGACAGTGTGAAAACATGCTGGGATTTAGGAGTTAGCACTGTCACAGTGAGTGGATCATCATGGAAGTATGTGGGGAAGGCAGCTAAGGCCAGCCAGTGTGATCACATTTAAGGCTACCCCTGGAAAACAGTGCCAGTGAAGGAAAGAGGGCCCGAATGATCAGAAAAACAGGAGGAAGATCGAGACAACTTAGTGACTGGGAAGGCCAGAGAGGAGAAAGTGTAAAGGAGAGGTGGTTGCCAGCAATGGAATAATGCAGAGGAGTTGAGCAGAACGGGGCAATCCATTGGACTTGACAATAAATAGTAATTGGTGCTACTTGTAAAGGGAGAATCCAGATTGCATATTAAAGTGTATGAGAAGTTAGGAAATGAAGGTAACATTAGCTAACTCTTCTTTCATGAAGTAGAGGAAAGAAATGGAAAGGTAACTTCAGATAGTATCAGGGTCAGGGTCAGGGGAGAGAGTGAAATTGAGGATGTTAAGTAGTTG